AATTGTGGGAGCATATTCTCTTCCTAACATGTAACTCTGACTCATTTACACAGTCAACAAAAATGACTCATTTTGGGTACTTATGTTCCCTTCTCCCCAATGTCAAAGATTATAATTTTATAATTAAAATTATAAAAGGGATCAGGCTGGGAAGATAAAAGAGCAAATTACACCATAATTCTAACCTATAGATAATACTGCAATTGAAATGTTTTTGTCATTTGGCTTACTTGGCCTTTGAAATCCAAGAGAAAAGGAACAGGAAAGTCTGTATCTAGCTAAACTATAGCCCACAAAATAACAGCGACGCAAAGCTACAATTATGTGCCAATATCATCCAGCTCTGAAACTGGCAACAATTGACTCATTCTGGAAACAATGACAGGAACTGCATTTTTCTAAGAAGATACAAAGTCTTCCTAAAATTTCATTTTCCCAGTTGATACTTATTCCTCCTTGTTTTAGACTACCAACGTTTGTTTAACAAGGGCTCTTCTCATTGAAATTAGTTCTTTTCAATATACATACCTCTGCGATGTCCTTACTATTTTTAAAGAAGTTGTTTTCCAGTCCTTCACGTAGGATTAAGTGGATAATTCATATGCATTAATGTAGAAACTAAAGGCTGATGGACGAAAAAGCCTAAGTGTCTTTGGGTTGGAAGTACAATTAAAGTAATTATATGTCAGCCAATTTATACATACTAGGAAGAGACAGTGAGAGAGTGTGACACATAGGAATTTAATAATTATTTTTTGTCATTTTAATAAACTGCATTAAGTATCTTATTTTACCTAAATGGCTTGTGTTAAAAATCCCATCAATATGGAATATCATTATAAGAAAATCCTGAGCTAAGATTTATGTACCTGAACCACAGAAATGACGTGTGTGAGAAATCTGCATCTTTTAAGAATCACTTCAAAGACATTTTTCTGGAGCTCAGGTAAACCCTTATTACCATAATGACTTTCTTAAACTCCTTGGCTAAGAGAAAAGGTTAGTTTCTCTGCCTATTTTATGGTGGGTGGTCCAGGAAAAATAATATCAGACACACCAGGCAGAGGACTTGGTGGAAAAGTGAAAAACAGAAGGGAAGTCCTGAGGTTAAGGTCCTCACTGCACTGGGTGCTTCATCGTCAGATTAGGGCAGTGCCACTCTGCACACCTATGGTGCAAGAACGCTAAAAGGGCAACAAAGAGTAACAAAAGGCCAACACTGCAAAAGCTGGGTAATAATGCCAGATACGAAGCAGAGGGTAACTCCAGATTAGTCTTCAATCACTGAAAATAAGCATCCCTCATTTAGCTCTAAGTAAAAATACACTATACACACCAGTTCTTCTTACTTCCTATAAAACACAAAACAGTAAGAACAGAACGTTGACCCGGGGATAGCAGATGGAATTAACTGCAAAGGCTCAGGAGCAAACTTGTTAGTGTAATGAAAATATTTTAACAGTGTGACTGCCTTGGTAAAGACCTTTCTATACAAAGCTTGCGGCACTGTCTACTTGAGATAGGTGGATGTTACAGTATGGGAATACACCTAAATAAAGACAGTTCTATAATGGTTTGATTTACATTATTTCACTTTTACACAGAAACTTTACATAGAAACTGTACTTCAAATTGTGGCCCTTTTCCAGGTTAATGATATGTGTACAATTCTCTTGTGATTATGGGCAGTGACAGCAAGCTGAGGCTTCTACTCAGCTACACAAACAAGAAGGGAAAACGGGGGCCGGAGATTTAGCTCAGTGGTTCCCCTGCCTGCTTCCCACGCACAAGGACTGGAGTTTGATCCCCTGGTACCAAAAAAAAAAAGAAACGGAAGGGGAAGTGGGAGGGGTAGGGGAAAGGAAAGAGGTGAATGGAATTAATATGAGAAAATGAGGAAATGAGAAAATGGAAACAAAGTCTTTGTAAATAGGGGTGGGTGGAGGAGATGGAGGGAGAACAAGGGAATGGGGAAAAGAAAATAAGAACCAAGGGCCAGGGATTTAGCTTAGCAGCACCACACCTGCCTTGTAAGCCTAAGGTCCCGAGTTCAATTCCCCCCCGCAAAAAAAACCCCAAAAATACAAAAGATAAGAACCAAGATACATCAAGTAAAAGTAAAAGCTCCCAATGATGAATATAAACTGTACTGTACATCTAAAATGTACCAATAAACTTAATGGCAGAAAAATAAATAAAGAAGGGAAACAATACAATGTACTACACTGCTAAGCTATGATGCTAGATGTATTAAATACACATTTGACTTAGGATATTTCCAATTAATGATGGGTTTACTGTTCCATAGCCCTATATTAAGTCAAATAGCACGTGTGATTTCAATCCTTAGAGGTAGTTTTTCATCATTACATTTACAACTATGGATTTTTTTTTTCTTTTTTAAGCCAGGATCTAGACTATGACATACTGGTCTTGAACTCACACTATGTAGCCCAGGCTGGCCTTGAATTCATGATCCTCCTGCCTCAACCTAAGTGCTGGGCTTATAATTATGTGCCATCATACCAACCTGGAATTTTTTTTTAAAAAGCTTCTATAATAAAGCTGCAAATGAAAGAAGAAATCGTGATCATTTTATTCTATTTCATTCTGTTTCTCATGATATAGTTTTACTCATTTATTTGCTATTTTTTAAAAATTTATGATGTCAGTCTCAATTCCAATTAGCTTCCTCTTGTTCCACCGTGCCACTTGGTTATCCCCTCCATGGTACACTCTAGAATTCTAGTTCTGTTGTGAAAATCATCCGTCCTTCCCTATGTCTTCAAACTCTTACCTGAAGGTTCACCCTACTCTCTTATCCATCTAATTAAAGAGCCTTTCTCTATACCATTGCTTGGCTCTGCAGCCTTATTAAGCAAAAATCCAGATTCCATACCTCATATATTTTAAGAGTCCAGTTTTCTGCTGCTTTTCGCTTTTGTTTTAAGACAGGGTCTGACCATGTAGTCCAGGCTGGCCTTGAACTCAATATGTAGCCCAGGTTGGCCTTGAGACAATTCTCCTGCCTCAGCCTCCCAAGTTCTGCGATCATGGGTGTGTGCCACCACACTCATCTTAATCCAATATTGGTGGTGTCTTTATCGCTTCTTGAAGCCACTTCTGGACCATTCTTTCTCTACTCCTTCAATAAAAATGCTAGCAAACCTGAGTTCAAATCAGTATCACTTTCTGCCATCTATTTCTCAACTACCTAACTCTTTTTAACATTTTACACCCATTATCAGTGCTCCTTACCACCTCAAAGTTTGCCTCTCAACAGCCTGATCTCTCCATTCTTTGGCCTCATTATTCCAGCAAGGTTCTCTTCCACTCTTACCATTTGTTTCATATGTCTTGCCCATTAGACTAAGCTCCATGAAGATGGGGAGCAGAGATATCTTGGTTATGGCTTGATTTCCAACATACTGTATTAGTGTATTCCCTAGTTAAATAAGGTATTTTTTCATCCTCACCTCACATGAAAACTGGGGGTTACTTGCAGGTCTATCTATGTTCCTTACAAGAGAACCAAAAGGACAGTAAACGTCTAGAAATCATATAAAAGCAATCACAGGACATTATGCCCAGAGAGATCATTTGTTGGATGATACGTAAGTAAGGAAAACAAATAGCTACCTTAAAATATAAGAAGGTAACCATATAGAAAAGGATGACAATTCTAAGAGTTAAGAAAAGGAAATGACATGGGCCAGTGACTTAGCTCAGTGGCAGTACACCTGCCTTGCAAGTGCAAGGTCCTGAGTTTAATACCCAGTACCAAAACAAAAAAAGAAACTGACACTGCCAATAATTAGTAGCTTTACTTAATGTTATTGGGCCTGCATTTTATCCCTTATCTATAAATTAAAGGAGTCAGACCTTTTGGATTCTCTATCTATAAATCTATTCTATTTTATTTCTGCTTCACTGTGCTTTAGGATATAAGAAGTATTCCAATAAGAGTTCACAGAAGGCAACTTGAACTGAGGATGTAGCTCGGTGGTAGAACCCTTCCATAGCATTGTAAGAGGCCCTGGGTTCAATCCCCAGTCCCGGGGGAGGAGGGAAGAGGCAACATGAGCCTGAGGACTAAGAACTGTTATGATCTGAGCCAAGTCATTAGGGTAAAAACCTTACTCTAAGAATACAAGATTTCTAGGCATGGTGGCACACACCTGAAATCCCAGCACTTGGGAGCCTGAGGCAGGAGCATTGCAGTGAGTTCAAAGCCAGCCTGAACTACATAGTGAGTTCAAGGCAAGCCTGAACTGCACAGTGAGATTGTACCTTAAAATACCAACCAACCAAACAAACAAACAAAAAAGACCTCAAACAACAAAAACAAAAACTTCAGGTCTAGCAGAGCTTCAATTTTAGTATATGTGCTGCTGAAGCAAGCACAGTAGCAGTGCTTCATAAATGGCTAGATTGGACCAGGGTTCAGCAGACCATGACCCCTAAGATAGCTGCTGTTTGTGTAAATAAAGCTTTACTGGAACAAAGCCACACCGCTTCACGCAAGTATTATCTATGGCTGCTTTCCTGATACCATGGCAGAGTTCAATAGTTACGAAAGGCAGCATATGGCCCATAAAGCCTTAAATATTATAATGTAGCATCTTAAGAAAAAATTTGCTGACCTTGTTCTAAATGATTTCTGAGGTTCAGTTTACGTTCTTTTTTCCCTCAGTACCAGGGATCGAACTCAGGATCTTGCACTTGTGAGGCAGGCACGGTACCACTGAGCTAAATCTCCAACCCTACATTCTTATACCTCCGCAATGAATATAGTTTCAGTAAAATGCTCTTAAATGGACAAAACATCATGATTAAAACAAAAAGAATGAGAGAGAATAAGGAGCACACATATGATTTCAATTAATTCCCAGTGATTGCACCACTTCCCCTGCTGGAGGGCGGGCTCACCGTTCAGTTACTGGAAACTTCTATTCCAAGACTACCAAAGATAAAATAACCAGTAGAGATTTAACACTCACCTGGCTTCCTTAACCTTTTCTGCATTCCCTCGACATACGTAGTACTCAATGTAACCTGAATCAGTGCAGTTGATTTTGGACCAATCTGGATCACATACATTCAAGAAGTGAGGCCTCAGTCTGCCTATTGAATATTTGGCAATGTCAGTTAGGGACTGACTAGCAGCTGCACCAAATAAAAAGGTTCCAATGGCTTTGTAAATAGTGGCTATATAATTATTCCTGATAAAGGAATTTGAGTGCAAAAGGTTACAGTAAACAGACAGGGTTTCTCCAACAATCATCTGAAAAAGAAACAAAAATAGTATGTTAAAGTAGCAAACAGACACAACAAAACAGAGAAAATGATAAATCACAGTAAGATCATAGTTTTAAAAACAGCCTCTCCCCCAAAGGAGAGTCAATTTTGGATATCGAATCCTACGCTATACACAAAGAAGTATCCGGTCAATTGTGGACACTGCTAAGCAATGGCTGAGCCATAACCATTTCATAGTCTGGCCGTGTGTGGTGGTGCATGTCTGTAATCCCAGCACTCCGGAGGCTGAGGCAGGAGGATCACTGTGAGTGCAAGACTAGCTTGGGCTACCTAGTAAATTCCAGGTCAGTGTCAACTACAAAGTGAGACCCTGTCTCAAACAAACAAAACAAACAAAAAAAGAAGTCATAGTCTACCTAAAACAAGGCCTTATTTTCTTGTATTTAACTAAACTAGACTTTTAATAAATAGACAGTTATGTGTCCTGGAGGACAAAAACCAGAGCTTGTTCAAAGAATTCAAATTTCCTCTATCAGAATCTCCCTTAATTTTTATCTGACAGTCCATTATTTCTCAAATATCCTTGTGGACCAAAGACATCCATGATATTAAAAAGGGTGAAAAAGCTTTAGGGAAGGGCTGGGGATTTAGCTCAGTGGTTCTGCCACCTGCTTCACCAGCAGAAGGTCTGGAGTTCAATCCCTCCCCCCAAAAAAAAAGCTTTAGGGAGTGAAACATCTAATATAAGAACAAGTCCACTGGGTTCACAACTCTTGCCTTCCAGAAGTTTAGGTCAGTTCCCTTTTAAGAAGTCTTATTAAAAGACCAAATGTATTTGATGCTTTTCCCTTCCCCAAGGACAGATCAAGTGATTCTTCCCTCTTTTACACTGACTTTTGTAAAATGGAGTTAAAGTCATCTTGTGACCCATTTTAGTAGTACCTGTGTGTCTGTGGATGAGCACGTGAGTATAAGGAGTTTAAAGGCATAAGAATATCACCAAGTGTTTTATAAGTTCACAAATCAGTATCCTGAGAAACTGAAATAATACTGAATGGCAACATTACAAATAATATTTGTTGCTTAAATAAGATCCACTCTAGTTAACTGAAACCTAAACACTTAGAGGAAAAAATAGCTTGCTAATTCAGGAAGGGGGTTATAATTAACAAAGTTTCACTTGAGATATATACCAGTTTCCTTGCTTGTCTTAGAAATATTTTATAAAGCATTCAACCATTTCCAATTAGTGAGTACTGTCTTCAGGGTTAGACTTAGCAGAGATGAAGTAAATGGTTGCCTCCTAAAAGGGATTTTAAGAACCTGTTAGTGCCAGGCATGGTGGTGCATGCCCGTAATCCCAGCATTCCAGAGGATGTGGTAGAAGGATCACTGCCAATCTGAGGCCATCCTGGGCTACACAGTGAGTTCAAGGCTGGCCTGAACTACATGTTGAACTACAGATCTTATCTCAAAACAAAAACAAACAAAAAACCTGATAGCAAAATTCTGTCCTACTTGGGCTTAGTGAGTTGTAGAATTCCATAATTAGAATGTTGTAACTTTGATGACCAGACTGAACTCTACAAAAGGGTGATTTCTTAAATACTGAATAGAAAGCTAGAATTGCTAAAATAACCTAAAACAGAGTAGACAGTCAATAAATTTTTATTGACGACATTGTCTCTTGGATAAAAATCAAATCTTCTAAACAAATTAAGTCACACAGAAATATACTCCCCATTATAGTCCTTAATGCAAATGAACTGATCAGACCCTTTACTGAGAACAAATCACAGGAGAGGAAAATTATGGTTACTTTAGGATCTTAAACCTTAACAATTTTGCTTAGGGTTATCCTCAGTAACCTCTAGCTACCCAGTTTTACCTGGCCCATTTGCAAGTCTCAATAATTCCCACTAAAATAACAGCCAGGGCTGGCGATTTAGCTCAGTGGTTCTGCAGCCTGCCTTGCAAGCACAAGGTCCCAAGATTGATTCCCCATCCCCGGTACAAAAAAAAAAAAAAAAAAGTTTTTTAAAAATTAATAAAATAACAGCCAGAATAGGTTTCTCAAAAAACTTCATTATGGAATTAATCTTTGACAGGTGAAAATATATCAAGTATAATTCGACCACAATTTTAGCAGTTAAAACTTCTATATCTCAACTGTCAGATGTTTTTCATAAGCACTCAACTAGTTTCCAAGAACAGGTACTAAGCTCTGTGACTCTTGCTAGACAAAATCACCATTCCTTAGAAAAACTTCATTATGGAATTAATCTTTGACAGGTGAAAATATATCAAGTATAATTCGACCACAATTTTAGCAGTTAAAACTTCTATATCTCAACTGTCAGATGTTTTTCATAAGCACTCAACTAGTTTCCAAGAACAGGTACTAAGCTCTGTGACTCTTGCTAGACAAAATCACCATTCCTTAGAGCTACCCAAATCCTCTTCGTGCCACTGATAACAGAAAACCAGTTTGCTAAGAACTGTGTACAGATAACAAGCTGATATACAGAAGTAATATAAGCTTAAATTCAACTGTTAGTGCTAGGATGGCAAGGGCACTACAAAGCTAGCAGCTTCCAAGGTGGCTAACGTCATTTTTTATATGCTCCTTTATTGAGAGAAACTGACAACAGAGAAGTTCTAAATTAAGTCTTCTAAATTAAATGTACAGATGTGTTTATTTGATCTACATAAGGCAGCCCGACTCTTTTGTTTTTGTTTTGGTGCCAGGGATCAAACCACTGAACCAAATCCCCGGCCTCTTCTGTTTCATTTAATACTTTATTCTGCCCTTTTAGCTCTTTATGCCAATTCTTAACCTTTGGTGACTCCTGCAGCTATGCCAACTGTAGCCTGATTAACCCTAGAATTGAAAAGTCTTCTCATGTTTATTTATTTAGACTCTAAAGATATGATGATTAAAGAACTAAACATAAGGTCTGGGGGAGTAAAACAATAAAAAGATAAAGGTTAATAATTATCAAAATGGTGAAGGGCTGCGGATTTAGCTCAGTGGAGCTGCACCTGCCTCACAAGTGCAAGAACCCAAGCTTGATCCCCAGTACTGAGGGAAAAAAAAAAAGTGGTATGATTTAACCTTTCTAAACCTGTGCCCCACAGGACTCTCTCACCATCTCCTTTATACCTCCACTATTCAAGATTATGTCTGGGGCTGGGGAGTCACCTCAGTGGTTCGGCCGCCTGCCTTGCAAGCACAAGGGCCCAAGTTCAAACCCCAGTACCAAAAAAATAAAAAATAAAAAAATAAAATTGTAAGTCTCTATAGTGTCCCTATGGTTTCATTCAGGGGGCCATCGTTCCAAAAAGAAGTCAAGTCACTGGCACATTTCCACATCTTCCACTTTTCTCAAATACCTCTTAACTGCCTCCACTGCTGTATTCCACTGAATCTCAAAACCCAAAGATGTATCATCAGATTTAACATATTATATTTTATTGACTCTTCTCATTTGTATTGGAATTCACTGCTACTTCATCCTCATTGAAATTCTCCCTTGTCTTCTAAGAAAATATATTAATCTTGGTTCTCTTCCAGACTCTCTCAATCACTCATAATTAGGGATCATTTGCAATTCATATCAAAGCCATGGAATGAAATTTGAATCATGATCTTTAAATGGCTTACTAATAAATAAAAATAAACATATACAAGTTTAACCAAATATTGCCTACAAGAAGCTAGGTTAATAAGTAAACTGGAACTATTTTACTATTTTAAATTAGTCCATGAAACTACTGCCCTAATAAGAGTTTGTCTGATACTGTTGATATGAAAACAGTACTACTTTTATAGCACCTTTAAACAATACATTCTTTTAAGAAATTTGTATTCATCAATTTACTTGTCATTTTACTAAATATAAAAATAACTTTCTCATGGATTATGATGAAATAGTAAAAAAGTCCCAAGGTAATAAAATGTAATTCATGAGTTTGGGATATTTTGTGAGACTGTGTGCTGACACATACCTGTAATGCCAGGAGGCCGAGGCAGGAGGATCCTGAGTTCTAGGCCAGCCTGGGCTACAGAGTGAGATACTGTCTCTAAAAATAACCACCAAAAATTCCTGACAGAAAAGTGGAACTGAAAGACAAGTGTATTTCTAGCACTGCTTACTTGAATACTGTACTTGAATCTTGCCTGAAACTAGCTATTTGCCATTAGGAGAGCTACTTAAAATTTTTATATTGAAACTGTTCACAATCTTTCAGAAATGTACTTTAGAAAGAAAAAGAAAAGCCACTGAATGTGGTGCAACATTCCTGTAACCCTGTAACCCAGCTAGAATCCATTTCCTCAGGTGGTAGGAGGACTGCTTGAGCCCACAAGCTTGTGACCAGCCTATGGAGGCTAGTAAGACCATTTAAAAAAAAAAAAGCCTACTCCTTCCTAAGTCATATTGCTTGCTTTCTTTCAATAGTAAAGACTTGGTGTTAAGAACTGGGGGTTAATTTAGGGGGAAAGTACTTCCAAGTAAATCTGAGCCCTGGATTTGAACACTGGCACTATAAAATCAAAACAAAAACAAAGAACCTCGGGTTAAAGATTTGGCTAAGTTAAAAGAACCCCTGATTTCTTAAAACTTCACAGGGCTGTAAGAGAGTCAACAATGTTACTTCATAATTACTCCACAGTTTGACTCATGTGACCAGTTTCATGCAAGCACCTACGACTTGCCAGATTCTATTACACCAGGCAGTCAGGACACCAAGCTGAAAAAAGCACTATATCTTTCCCTTAAAGAAGCTCACAGTCTTATGAAATAAACATGTTTATATAATACAGGCTTTCTTTTATTAGTTGTGCATCCCAAAATATGAGTTAACTTTCACTGCTAATATGATGCTGTGACCACTCTAAAGACATTATATTTCTAAATTAAGTTAAAAAACTTACAAGATGGTATCATCTTGTTGAACTTTCTTTTGGGTATAGCCATATTTTCCAACTCTTAGTAATTTAATTAACAAGCCTAGTTTCTAAAG